TGACAGCACAGAGCCTGCCTGGGATTCTCTGTCTCCCTCTCTCTGCCCCTCCCCTCCTTAAACTCACTGTCCATCTCTCTCTCTCAAAAAACAAATAAATAAACCTTAAAAAAAAGTTTCCATATGCTTAGAGACAAATATCTCCTTCTGGGAAAGAGAACGAATGAGAGATAACAACTATCAGGGAGTAATGGTTACCCGGGCAAAATTAGAAGTAACAATTTAAATGTTGCTTGCAGGAGTATTTCTATTTACCAAGAGCCCTAAAGAATGTTGACCATGAAGAGAGTCATCCTGTGATTGTCCACTAAAAAGTGACCATCACAAGATAATGACCGTGGGACTGAAAGATGTTTCCCTGCTCCCAGCCCCTCACCCTTTGGAAAAGTGCCTTTATAAGCTGTACATGTTGGGCGGGGGGCAGGGGGGGTCGTGGAAACATTCCTCTTTCTTGTTGGCTCCCCTGTGTACAAGCTATCTCTAATAAACTCCGCCTGCTTTCTTTCTCAGTGTTTATTTTTGTGACATTGAGATTCAAGAACTGGACTCAGGGGTCCAGTAGCATCCATCTCCAAACTCATTCATCATCCCAAACTGAAACTCTGTGCCCATTAAACAACTTCCCTTTCCCTCCTCCCCCTGCCTCAAACCCCGTCCCCTGGTAGCCATCTTTCTACTTTCTCATCTTTATGAACTGAAATAGTCTAGAGATCCCACATAAGTTCCAGCCTCACGTTGGATATAGAGATTACTAAGAAAAATAAACCTCAAAAAAAAGTGATAAAAAATCTTTAAAAAGATAAAACAAGGGGCACCTGGCTGGCTTAGTCCATGGGGCATGAAACTCTTGATCTCAGGGTTGTGAGTTCAAGCCCCATAGTGGGTATAGACATTACTTAAAAATAAATTTAAAATCTTAAAAAATAGGGGCGCCTGGGTGGCTCAGTCGGTTAAGCGTCCGACTCTCTGTTTCGGCTCAGGTCATGATCTCATGATTCCATGGGTTCGAGCCCCACTTCCGGCTCTGTGCTGACAGCGCAGAGCCTGCTTAGGATTCTCTCTCTCTCTCTCTCTCTCTCTCTCCCTCTCTTTCTCTATCCCCACCCCCTCTCCCCCCCCCCACTCATGCTATCTCTGTCTCTCTCAAAATAAATACATAAACTTAACAAAAAGTTTTTAACCTTAAAAAATAAATATATAAAAGTGGAATCATAGAGTATTTGTCTTTTTCTGTCTGGCTTATTTCACTTAGCATAATGTTTTTAAGGTTTATCCATATGATAACATATTGCATTATTTCCTTCCTTTTTATAGCCGAATAATATTCCTTGGCATGTACATAGCACTTTGTTTATCCATTCATCCATCCATGGACACTGGCGTTTCTCCCACCATCTAGCTACTGTGAATAATGGTGTTGTGAACAACAACAGGGCACCTGTGTAGCTCAGTCGGTTAAGTGTCCAACAGTTGATTTCAGCTCAGCTCATGATTGCACAATTCATGAGTTCGAGCCCCACATTGG